AGATAAAAAAACAGTGCATCTTGTGCACCGAAGGGTAACTACTCGCTTTAAAATATATTAAGATACAATTTTTGCACAATCTTCCATGTAAAATATGCTAACATACAATTTTTGAAGCGAGGAGGCCCCCGTTTCCATTACATAGACGGAGTTTGCCACATAGCAATAGAAAGGAGGGAAAAAGCTACTACACTTAGGGCATGTTTGATACACATGCCTAGTTACTAGTTAGGACTAATAATTAGCTCAAACTAGCTATGGTTGGCTAGCTAGTTAGCTAACAACTAGTTGAAGATTTGGCTAAAAAAATAACCCACCTATTAGCTCTCATGTTCGGATGCATTAGAGTTAATTTCGTAAGCTTACTAGCAATTAGCTAGTTCTGGTATCAAAACAGACCCCTAGATTAGGACTAATCTACCTTATTCAAGCGACTAGCCTATCTACTGCAAGCGCACCAGGAGTATCGTCTCAAAGAGCTACATCTCAGTTCAACTCATTACATACCCTTAGGGCATAGACAGCGATCCACTACGTCATTTACTGAGACAAAAACAAACAACAAACCAGAACCCACGGACACTCATTTCTAGGATTAGCACCATTAAGCCGGAAGCACCCTTGGTTTATGTTAAGATGCAGTTATAATTAGAGAAAGTTTTATAAAAAAAAAGATATAAATTGATACCTGTGCCCTTTGCCATGCTGTGCCCTAGGCGTACGGTTTGCCCCCGCGACGGGCCTTTTGGGCTTCGCCGCATCAAATCTGGGCCCGCCCATACTTCACTGCAGGGCTAGGTTCGAAATTGGGCCCAGCCTTTAGTGTCTAGCCATGGAATTGCAGTGCATAGATCTCTGATCGTAGCCAGCATATCTGATTCCTGTTGTTGCATATGATCATACCCCATGGAAGGATCTGAACAAGATCGATGAATTTCCTTACATCTGAATTCCGGCTCTTGTTTCACCTGAAGAATTCTGGTCCTTTTTTTTATCTGACATTGTAATTTTCAGCAATGCAAACGCCTCGCACGCTCTAGGAGTAAACATGACAAGCACTGCCACAGATGTAAACATGACAAGCGCTGCCACAGATTTGCGCACGAACCAGGTTAAGCACAATGTTTGGCCATGATCCAAATGTACACAAACAAAGCAAATCTGTCGTCACACTATCACATGGCGTGTGGCAGTGTTTCTATTCAGAAACATTACACAGAACTGCAGAGTCTTTGACTCAGTTCACATTCAGCCACGCAATAACATTTTACCTGTAACCATTTTTGCTGTAAAAATTTTCAAGCTTTAGACTCAAATAACACACATTGGAATGACAAGCACAAAATCAAACAGAACATATTCAATGAAGATTCAAACTACAAAACTTCATTTAGTCAAAACTCGACACAATACTCAAAGCAACTGTTAGGTGTTGGAATTTGGTTACATAGCATGGTCTGCTTTAAGTACTAGTAACATTAAATTTTGACGACAAGTTTTAGGAACAGTATAAAACCCACAACTTCAGCATCCAAATAGGCTATGAGCAGATTTAGAAAAGAGACGTTCCCTTGCCCTTCTTGTCTCCACCAATCTCAAAATGCTTGCATCTCTGTGACAAAGAAAGCAGAAAAGAGTGAGCAAACACAGACAGAAATACTTGGTTCAACAACATGTTCAGCCCAAGAGAAATGAGACAGTGCCTTGATCGGTGCTGCGAGTAGTGCTTGCAGCTCTGGCACTGCAGCTTCAGCACAATCTTCTTGGTGGTCTTGGCCTGAAAATCACAACATTTGTCATAAACCAAGCTGCGTACGCAACAGGCATTTAGAATTCACAATTATCTTCAAACATTCATGTTGGCATAAAAAGGAAAATGGTATAAAGCACCGACAGATCAATCAGGTCATCGACAAATATATGTTTGAAACTTGTATTACCTTCTTGTGGAAGACGGGCTTGGTCTGACCACCATATCCTGACTGCTTGCGGTCATAACGGCGCTTTCCCTGAGCAGACAGGCTATCCTTACCCTTCTTGTACTGAGTAACCTTTTGGAGAGTGTGCTTCCTGCACTCCTTGTTCTTGCAGTAGGTCTTCTTGGTCTTAGGAACGTTCACCTATATAACACCAAACGAGTTGCACAGGTTGAAACAACATTTGATGGATAGGAGGCAAAAGATAAGTAATCATTGCAGCAACTAATAAACCAATTTAAATTTAGGGTAGTTGTTCAAACGACTTTATAAACAAGTTCAATATATAAATGGGAAAAAGAAACTGAAAACTCAAATTGGAACTTCATGCGGTCCTCAGAAGATATGCTTATGGTTGTCATCACGAGAAATAATCAGGTCTCAAAGATTTCATGTCATCATAGGACCCAGTAATCCAACAAAAGCATTAAACAAAAGACAGCAGAAGATAATCAATGCATCTTCAGTGAAGAATCATGCTAAAGTCCAGGTGCAATGGTGACAAAGCAATGAAGCATGAAGAGAATCCTTCATCAGCACAAACAATCAGATAATCAATCCCCGTTATGCCTGAAGCAGAATAGAAAGGTCTATTTAAACTGCAACCTGATAATAGCAAGCTACCACTGAGCACGGATGGCAAATGCAGCAATCTGATTTTTTCTGAATGTTTCAGAAGGACAACAAAATGACTGAGATTAAAGATATCATACCATGCACTAATTTACTCCTGCAAGATTATGACATACACGGAGAATTCCAAGCGCTTTTTACAGATAGTACATATAGAACGTCTAAGCAGTCATTGCAGTATGCCATCAGTTGAACACACAAAGTTGCGCGACACAAGCCCAAGGGCGAGCTGCAGAGCGAGCCAAGCGCGCCCCAAATCTTGGCACAGGAACCAGCCCTGATTTTGGTAGCAAGCCGTGAATCACCGACCACTCAGCACAGGAACCGGCTTCTCAAAACACACACACGCACATTCAGGAGAAGACAATTTTTCAAAAACAATTCAGGAGAAGACAAGCAGTGGAGACATGAGGAGAATTCGAGATGATGGCATTACGCTGCGCACGCATAGACCTTACGCCACGTGAAGGAATGGAATGAGACGTTAGTAGTAACTTTTTTTTTCCTCCGAAAACTCAACAAGAGAATTGCTGAGTAAATAAATACATTAGAGAGTAAATAAAGAATACAGGACTATCTGTAAAAAAACGGTGATCCTAGCGCCCGGACGTCCGGCGCGCGAGTGCGTCCGGACGCCGATCCCTTACAGAACCCCGCCCGCCCCCCGCGCACGGAACGAAATAGAACGGAACCAATGTCCTCCGCTCCCCACCGCGCTCCTGTCCCCCCTTCTCCAAGGCACCTCGTTCCCCCACCGCGCCCATGTCCCAAAAGAGCATGAAACACTTCAACTGCAACGTTACAAAACATATGGAAAAACTATGCAGTGCAACATTAGGTTGTAAATACTGCAACATCGCAAAAATATGTAGTGCAACATCGAAAAACATTCACTGCAACATCGAAAAACATGTACTGCAACATCGAAAAAACATATACTGCAACATCGAAAATTATGTGAAGAAAAGGAAAAGGGAATGTAGTATGTATGCTGCTGCTCATGTGAAGAAAAGGAAAAGGGAATGCCCCAAAATTAACCTTCACCGACCAGTCCTCGGTGGCTGCTGGCCTGCTGCAACTGCAAGCAACGAGAACAACAAGAAATGCAAACTCATTTACCGTACCTCGAGAAAGCATGTGGACACAATATTCTCTCAAATTTCTTCCTTGCAGTCTTAAGACCCGTACACCTATGAGGCCATGAGTACATCTCAATTTCTCAGTCTGCGAATTGCCACAAAGAGTAAATCTCATTCTTCTAGAATCCAAGTGTTTGGGTCTAGTATTCTAGTTCTCTTTATTTTTTCTTAACATAACAGTGTATTGCTGGCACACTCACATCAGCACAGGCATTCATCACACTTGGTATGGTGAATTGGTCTGTCTCCCTCCCAGTATAACGAAGCTCTCTGAATATGTCTAGTGCCTTATCAGAACGTTCTTCGTGCACACCACACCACATATGCTGTGCCTGTAACCAATTAACCATATAGATGTTCATGCAAGAATCTCTTGCTTGGGAGTCCAAAGGAAGCATCTCAGGCTATCATTAACTAACAGTGATTTTGAGAACAGACACGAATCAGTGCATAGCTCGTCGTCTGACTATAACATGGACATGGCTATCATTAACCAAGCATGTTGATCCATTCCTCTGTTGTTTGCAAACATCTTTTGAACTCAGCGCAAGCCTTGACTTGAGCAACGCCCTGACCGGTGCATTGGCCAGGAACGCAGTCCGCGCTCACCAAGCCAGTGCACGCGTGGCCCGGAACGCCCCGATCGAGCACCAAGCGCGCGCGCTCGGACCACTGGCTCGAGTGCCCGGCGACGAGCGTGTTCACGACGACGGCACCCCGGCGCGGCGTTCCGTACGTTCAACACCGACGGGAGGCGGGCGTCCTTGCTTGCTTGGGGCACGGAATGGCGGCCGGCGCGCCATTCTAGAACTAACGGGAGGCGGGCGCCCTATGTTCTTACGATTGGTTTCAGTTCAGACTTAGAGATGGAGTAACTGTTTGTTGGAAATCACGGGAAAAGATTCGAAATCGATCGAACGGAATGCACGAAATGAATCGAAATAGAAGACGACAGGAGGCGATCGAGTGCCCTTGATTGGGGTTCGGTTGGTTTCAGTTCAGAGATGGAATAGGGATCGAAAACAACCCGATTACTTGTTTTTGTCGAAAAAAAATTCGCGACAAAGGAACCAAAATCGATCCATCCATCCGTGCAAGATTCTGCTTCCGACGTGTGCTTTATATATAGCGGAAGCGCCGCTCCCTCCCACCTCTGCCTCCAACGCGTGCTTTCTTCACCTTCACGCACGCACGCACGCCTCCTCCGATCAGTCGATCGTCGTCGATCCACCAGCAGCTGCATCTCGGCGACATGGCTTCCAACGACGATAGCCGCTCCACCGACAATAAGGCTTCCATCGCCCTCCTGCGCCGCGTCCGCGCCGGAGACCACGTCCACTTCGTCCATCACGTCGATGTCTGTGATGCCGTTCCCGAGGTTCTCGTCGCCGACCTGGAGCCGGTGCCGGGCACCGGTGCCGAAGATGACGGCTACAGCAGGATCTGGTACTTGTACCACGCCAAGAAATACAAGAACACCCGAGGCGACACCAGCGGCCACAGGCAGCGCGCGGTCACCGGCGGCGGCGGCACGGGCTGGCACTCGGAGATAAGGCGCAAGGACGTCCAGGGATCCGGTGGCGGCACGTTCTGCACCTTCTCATACGGCCGCAAGACGGAGCCCTCCGCTCGATCGATCGACAGGATGGGGTGGTGCATGGTGGAATACGACTTCGTCGCCGCCGACAAGAAACAAGACGAAGCCGCCGCCGACAGCAGCAACTACGTGCTTTGCAAGGTGTACCGCTCGCCTCGCGCGAAAGGGAAGTCGGCGCCGGTATCGGCGTCCTCCCCAGCAAGAAGTCCTCGTCCAAGCAGACGGCCAAGAAGAGGAAGGCCGGCGGCGGTGAGCACCCCGAGGCGCCGCCGGCCAAGTCGATCCAGCAGCAAGAACAGGTGCAGCAGGATACTACCGCCTGCTATCAGCCACAAGGCGTGGAGTCGGAGCACGGCGGCGACTTCAACTTCAACATCGAGGACATAAACTTCTACGTCGACGAGAGCATGCTGCGAGACAAGCCAGAGCAGGGACTGCAGCAGCCAATCGCCGAGCCGGAGACTGCCGTGCAACGACAGTCTGAGCACGAAGAGTTCACCGTGGAGTGGTTATTGCGAGGTGAGCCGCAGCAGCCGATCGTCGAGCCGCCGCCGGGGCATGGCGGCGAGTTCATCCAGATGCCGTGCGGTCTGTTGGTGCCCGTGGTGGCGGAAGCCACCGTCGACGATATGCTCGGGCTCGGCCCGGAGACAATGTACGGCCAGTGGAGCGGTGGCATGACAACAGCAACAAGCATACCATGGAGCAGCTACGCGCCGACGACGTTGTACACAGGATGCAGCAGCCTTCTTCAAGGATCTGATCCCCTCCAGCTTCCATATCTGACGTGTTGACAGAGCTAGCTAGCAGAACTGGCTGCTGCGTGTGTTCCGGTTAAAGCTGCACGCGAATTTTTGTGCATCAAAGTGTAGCTTTCCCTAGCTGTAGAGATTGATTTACCATGTATGCATCAGAAGATAGACGGTGACAAAGTTCATCTATCTTCTCTGCTTGTAAACTTTACAGATATCGAGTTCGTAATGTAATGCAATGTAACCGATGATCTGTTCTTGCAATTGCCTTCCTGAAGATTTTGCACTGACGCGTACCGGCGTACGTGTAATTGCCATTTCCATTGCCTGTACTAATAATAGACATAATTCAGCGCGTGAGTTCAATCTGAATGTGTTGCGTTCGACGCTAGACCTTGCGCTTGCCATGTTAAGACTTCAGAACGATCCCCACCTGGTTGCTTGTCTTCTTCTCTGAGAGTTCAGATATTTCAGTCATCGTGTATTCTACCATTAGCGTTGTGACGACTGAAGATCATCCCTTCCCCTTCGTCCAGCTTCTGTTTGTTACTGTGGTGAAGACCACCACATGCTCATCCTGCTCGTCCTGTCCCCGTGCCCTTTAATTTACATCTCCTATATGAAAGGAGACGAGTAATTTTTTGGTGGCCACTGACCAAAAGGAGTACCATTGTGCGAAATTGCCGGAGAAAAAAAAAAGCCTTATCCGCTTCGCTTCGGTTCAAGCCTCTCGGCGACAGGCCTCGCTTCGCTCCGGTAGAAGTTAACATTTATCTTGTATCACAACTCAACAAACTCCAACTTGAGACAAATTCCTTCTTGTAGCATAAAACGAACCTTTACCCTGAAACAACAAAGAAACACTTCCGGTGTCAAATAGCCTCTTGGGCTAAACAGTTATACCACCTAAACTTGAGCAAAGCTCAAACTTAGTAACATGATCTGGCTTTATCAACATATCAGCAGGATTATCATGTGTGCTTATCTTGCATACCTTCAGCTTACCTTGCGCGACAACATCACGAACATAATGGTATTTGACATCAATGCGCTTCGTTCTCTCATGGAACATGTGATCTTTAATGAGACATATAGCACTTTAACTGTCACAAAATAAATTAATGCAAGAATCATCTCCACAAAGCTCAGTAAATAAACATTTCAACCAAACCGATTCTTTACATGCTTCAGCAACAACCATGTATTCTGCTTCAGTGGTAGACAGAGCAACAACGGGCTGCAATGTTGTCCTCCAACTCACAGCACAACCACCAATAGTGAACACATAACCTGTGAGAGATCTCCTCTTATCCAAATCGGTAGCAAAATCTGAATCCACGTAGTCAATGAGTCCCTTATCAGTCTTGCCAAACTTCAAACAAGCATTTGTTGTGCCACGAAGGTACCTGAAAATCCACTAAACAATCTTCTAATGCTCTTTATCAGGATTAGCCATGTATTTACTAACCAAACTCATAGCATATGATAAATCAGGACGAAAGCAAATCATGGCATACATCAAAGAATCAACAACACTAGAATATGGAACTCTTGACATGTACTCAAAATTCTCATCCGTACTAGCATATTGTAAAGCTGATAATTTAAAATGAGGAGCAATAGGAGTACTAACAGACTTTGCATAGTGCATGTTGAAACGATAAAGAACTTTTTTAATGTAACTTTGCTGACTAAGAAATAACAAACCAGAATTTCTGTCTCTTATAATCTCCGTACCTAGAATTTTCTTAGCAGCACCAAGATCCTTCATCTCAAACTCACTACTCAACAGTTTCTTCAACATAGTGATTTCTTTCTTGCTCTTGGCAGCAATCAACATATCATCAACATATAACATCAAGTATATAGGTGATTCATCAACAAATTTAATGTACACACAACTATCAAATTCAGACCTCTTAAAACCATGTGACATCATAAAAGAATCAAACCTTTTATACCATTGACAAGGAGACTGTTTCAAACCATATAAGGACCTCTTTAATTTGCAAACATGATCCTCTTTACCAGGTACTATGAACCCTTCTGACTGGTCCATGTAAATCTCCTCCTCGAGCTCTCCATGTGGAAACGCAGTCTTTACATCTAACTGCTCAAGCTCAAGATCTCGCATAGCAACAATACCGAAAAATGTACGAATTGAACTATGCTTTACAACTGGAGAAAACACATCATTATAATCAACACCAGGAATCTGACTGAAGCCTTTTGCTACTAACCTTGCCTTAAATCTTGGAGGCTCACTAGGAGACAAACCCTCATTTCTCTTGAAAATCCATTTGCAATGAACGATCTTCGTTTGTTTAGGCAAGCGCACAACATCCCAGGTGCCATTTTTTTTTGAGTGACTGCATATCTTCTTGCATAGCAGAAATCCACTTCTCGCGGTCACCAGAAACAACAGCTTCAGTGTACGTAGCCGGCTCATGAATGTTCTCCACCTGTTCAGCACAACTAAAGGCATAATGAACAATATCACATTCCTCAATTAAACGTGGACGAGGTCCACAATTCCTCTTTGTTCTGTGATCTACAATAGACTGATTTTGAGGATGCAAAACAGGAGGTGAGTGCTGAACAATATCATGAACATTGTTATCAATAATTTTAGTTTTCTGATCATCTACGTGCTCCGCCTGCATGCTAACATGTTGTTGCTCTTCATCAGAACCAACTGGAGAAATATCTGTGGACAAGCTGTCATTAAACATAACAGATTTATTAAAAACAACGCTCCTGTTCATAAAAGTCTTTTTAGTTTCAGGATTACATAACTTATATTCTTTAACTCTAGAACCATAACCAAGAAACAAACATTTAATGGCTCTAGGTTCTAGCTTTCCATTATCAACATGAGCATAAGCAGTGCAACCGAAAACTCTCAACTGTGAATAATCAGCAGGCATATCAGACCATACCTCAATGGGAGTTTTCTTATTAAGTGGGATAGAAGGTGACCGGCTGATCAAGTAACAGGCGGTGTTAGCAGCCTCAGCCCAAAAACGTCTGTTCATATGAGCATTAGACAACATGCAGCGAGCCCTCGAGATGATGGTTCGGTTCATGCGCTCAGCCACACCATTTTGTTGAGGAGTGTATAGGATGGTGTGGTGCCTGACAATGCCTTCTTTCCTGCAATAATCATTAAAAGCACCCAAACAGAATTCAGCTCGCTTGGTCTCGCTTCGCTCTAGCAGAAGTTAGCCTTTATCTTGTACATAACTGAATTTGGATCACAACTCAATAAGATCAAGCTCATCGGCATGGTCTGAAAGCTAATCATGTCGCAACTGAAAGTTTGCACCCCGCCCAAAATGAGTGGAAGCCGCAAGGCCATGAGGCCATCGCTGTCGCCAGACTTGCGCGTTCTTCTCGCCCCCGCGACTCGCGTGGCCCCAACGACCTGCTCGGCACCCCGTTGAGGCCAAATTTTTTGTTTTTAAGCCCTTTTTTTTGAAAGTTTTTCACAAATCTACTTCTGGAGGTATCCTTTTAAAATCTAGACCCTCGTCTCGACACCATCGTAATTAGCTTACACGTCTCGGTGCCTAGGTCTTGAGCTGACATAGGCGTCGACGCAGACGTGACGGTGACTTGGCAGCCACCTTGGCACCGTAGATCTTGGCCGTCCCGCGCCCACCGCGCGCCACCCCTTTCGGCCCGTGCCCGCGCCGACCCCCGCCGTGTCGGCCGCCTCGTCCGTCTCAGCTTGTCGCGTCCGCCACGCGCATAGGCGCTCCCTCCGGTGACCCCGGCCATGACACAGCCCCTGCTCTTGGCGCGCCGTGACCTCACCGTCGATCCCGTCCTCCACGTCCCCGTCCTGCTCCGGTCCCGCTGTCCGTGTCCACGTCGCATCCCTGGCCTGCTCCGCCCGGCCATGACCCCGGCCCCTGCTCTGGCATCCACGAGCCTGCCCCTCCTCGTCCACAGGAGAGGGGCTGGTGTCCTGCTGCAAGGCCGCAACAACAGCCAAAGCTCTGTTTGTCTCCAACGTCACGTGCTTTGTTCGTTGCATTGACTTGGACAGGTAAATTTTTTGAATATGCAATGTAGGTACTTAGTTAGCTTGAATTGTAGTGATACTTTGATTATTTGGTAGTTTCTAGTAAATTTGAGGAAGTATGTAGTTGATTTAGTCAGTGAGATAGATATAGTTAGATAGCTAGTGACATATAGATATAGTTATTAGATAGCTAGTTGATATAGTTAGTGAGATAAATATAGTTAAGTAAATATAGTTAGATAGCTAGTGACATAGTTATTTAGGTAGGACTTAGCTATGTTGTTAATATAATGTATTTATATACTTAGGGTGTAGCTGGTTAGTATGTATTAGAGATGTACTATATAGCAGCTACTTTAGACTAAACGAACTGTATTTCAATTTTTGTTTGAACTACTAGATGACAACCTAGTGAGCATATATCATAGAGGCACCATGGAAAGAGATCGCTATGGATATGTTGAGTTTGTTGACATACAAAGCGTGCATGTGTTATTCAATGAGAAGCCTTTATTTAGTGAGTTGGTTGCAAGGGCTAGAGAGGAGCTACATTGCCTTGAAGCTGATGATGATGATGGCATCACAGTTGAGGGTGTACTTCACCTAGGTTCCCCTCCGAACATCCTAAGAAAGATGATTCCAATTGGGTGTGCGGATCAATGGGAGAACTATGTGAGATCGGCTATGAAGAGCTAGTTCTAAAGTTTGGACGTGGTTGTGCGTTGGGTGGTACTTGATCGCATCCATCATGGGTTTTCTCCAGAAATGGGCCAGCAGGCACACTTTGACCCCCTCGTCCCGGAACCTGATATGGATGTGGAGGTTGCGCCTACGATTCCTGATGCCCAATCTGTCTCCAATGAGGTAGTTGGAGATGCTTTGTCGGACTCATGATGTTGTGGCAGATCCTCCTCATGAGATCTCTTTGACACAGAATCATTCGAGTAAGTGTCTTATCCGTATTGTTATTGGGAGCTTACCCCCTTCCTTAGATCCATTTTTCTCATTCTTTACTCCTATTTCTACTTATGTTGCATGAGACATTCCTGACAATGTGGATGTGCCACTGTTGTTGCGCAAGTGCACTATGGAGATAGATTCCATGGCTCTAATAGTGTTGAACTTATGACTGAATCGGGGCTACGACTTCTACAGGATGATGTGCCATCTAATCTGCTTCTATGCTGTCGAGTTCCACCTGCCAGATAGAGTTGCACATCAATTTAGAGTGAGACAGCTTTGGCCAATGGCTTTGTTCTCGACTGGCATTGATTTACGTAAGTAAGTGTTCTGCTATTTCAATTGTCCCGTTATAGTCCATTTGTATTATTTCCTATATAAGATGAAGTAACGATGGCTTACGTGCACTTTTAATATGGTCATATGTATATGGATTGAGATGAATGTGCGTGTATGGAATGCATATATTTGTGTTATATTTTTGTTTGGTTTGCATCAAAAAATAAAGGAAACTCTACAGAAATTTTCTACACAAATTTGTTCATGAATAAATCATAGAACTAGCAAATCAAGCAGCTGAGTGTAACGAGGCCACTTTTTCTTTCTCAGGGCATCGGGATTCTCCTCCATCACTGCCTTCGCTCGGCGCGCACGCTCAAGCTTCTTCTCCCTCTCCTCCATATAGGCAGCAACACGCCTCATTTCCTCTTTTTCTTGGTGCTCCTTTTCTGTAGCCTCCTCTCTACGTCTCTTCTCCATCATCTTCTTCTCCTCTACCTTCCACCACAACAGTTTTTACATTCACTCCTTGTCTTCTGGCTTTGATCTCAGTATCGATCCACTGCACCAAAATCGATGGGTTTCAGTTCAGACTTAGAGACGGAGTAACTGTTCGTTGGAAATCACGGGAAAAGATTCGAAATCGATCGAACGGAATGCACGAAATGAATCGAAATAGATGACGACAGGAGGCGATCGAGTGCCCTTGATTGGGGTTCGGGCACGGTCGTCGGAATGGCGGCGCGGTTCGGTTGGTTTCAGTTCAGAGATGGAATAGGGATCGAAAACAACCCGATTACTTGTTTTTGTCGAAAAAAAATTCGCGACAAAGGAACCAAAATCGATCCATCCATCCGTGCAAGATTCTGCTTCCGACGTGTGCTTTATATATAGCGGAAGCGCCGCTCCCTCCCACCTCTGCCTCCAACGCGTGCTTTCTTCACCTTCACGCACGCACGCACGCCTCCTCCGATCAGTCGATCGTCGTCGATCCACCAGCAGCTGCATCTCGGCGACATGGCTTCCAACGACGATAGCCGCTCCACCGACAATAAGGCTTCCATCGCCCTCCTGCGCCCGCGTCGCGCCGGAGACCACGTCCACTTCGTCCATCACGTCGATGTCTGTGATGCCGCGTCCCGAGGTTCTCGTCGCCGACCTGGAGCCGGTGCGGGCACCGTGCCGAAGATGACGGCTACAGCAGGATCTGGTACTTGTACCACGCCAAGAAATACAAGAACACCCGAGGCGACACCAGCGGCCACAGGCAGCGCGCGGTCACCGGCGGCGGCGGCACGGGCTGGCACTCGGAGATAAGGCGCAAGGACGTCCAGGGATCCGGTGGCGGCACGTTCTGCACCTTCTCATACGGCCGCAAGACGGAGCCCTCCGCTCGATCGATCGACAGGATGGGGTGGTGCATGGTGGAATACGACTTCGTCGCCGCCGACAAGAAACAAGACGAAGCCGCCGCCGACAGCAGCAACTACGTGCTTTGCAAGGTGTACCGCTCGCCTCGCGCGAAAGGGAAGTCGGCGCCGGTATCGGCGTCCTCCTCTAGCAAGAAGTCCTCGTCCAAGCAGACGGCCAAGAAGAGGAAGGCCGGCGGCGGTGAGCACCCCGAGGCGCCGCCGGCCAAGTCGATCCAGCAGCAAGAACAGGTGCAGCAGGATACTACCGCCTGCTATCAGCCACAAGGCGTGGAGTCGGAGCACGGCGGCGACTTCAACTTCAACATCGAGGACATAAACTTCTACGTCGACGAGAGCATGCTGCGAGACAAGCCAGAGCAGGGACTGCAGCAGCCAATCGCCGAGCCGGAGACTGCCGTGCAACGACAGTCTGAGCACGAAGAGTTCACCGTGGAGTGGTTATTGCGAGGTGAGCCGCAGCAGCCGATCGTCGAGCCGCCGCCGGGGCATGGCGGCGAGTTCATCCAGATGCCGTGCGGTCTGTTGGTGCCCGTGGTGGCGGAAGCCACCGTCGACGATATGCTCGGGCTCGGCCCGGAGACAATGTACGGCCAGTGGAGCGGTGGCATGACAACAGCAACCAGCATACCATGGAGCAGCTACGCGCCGACGACGTTGTACACAGGATGCAGCAGCCTTCTTCAAGGATCTGATCCCCTCCAGCTTCCATATCTGACGTGTTGACAGAGCTAGCTAGCAGAACTGGCTGCTGCGTGTGTTCCGGATAAAGCTGCACGCGAATTTTTGTGCATCAAAGTGTAGCTTTCCCTACCTGTAGAGATTGATTTACCATGTATGCATCAGAAGATAGACGGTGACAAAGTTCATCTATCTTCTCTGCTTGTAAACTTTACAGATATCGAGTTCGTAATGTAATGCAATGTAACCGATGATCTGTTCTTGCAATTGCCTTCCTGAAGATTTTGCACTGACGCGTACCGGCGTACGTGTAATTGCCATTTCCATTGCCTGTACTAATAATAGACATAATTCAGCGCGTGAGTTCAATCTGAATGTGTTGCGTTCGACGCTAGACCTTGCGCTTGCCATGTTAAGACTTCAGAACGATCCCCACCTGGTTGCTTGTCTTCTTCTCTGAGAGTTCAGATATTTCAGTCATCGTGTATTCTACCATTAGCGTTGTGACGACTGAAGATCATCCCTTCCCCTTCGTCCAGCTTCTGTTTGTTAATGTGGTGAAGACCACCACATGCTCATCCTGCTCGTCCTGTCCCCGTGCCCTTTAATTTACATCTCCTATATGAAAGGAGACAGTAATTTTTTGGTGGCCACTGACCAAAAGGAGTACCATTGTGCGAAATTGCCGGAGAAAAAAAAATAGCCTTATCCTCTTAATAATACTGTTAGAGATTCTTATACTCTTCATGTTTTCAAAAGAATTCTTATCCTCTTAATAATCTCTAGCAGTGTTCCTTAATATCGAGTTCGTAATGTAATGCGATGTAACCGATGATCTGTTCTTGCAATTGCCTTCCTGAAGACTTTGCACTCAAGCATGTAATGATCGTTTCGATTGCTTTGTAACATGCTTATAATAATTCGTCAGCTTTAGTTCAATCAGCATGTGTTGTGTTCAATGGTAAACCTTGCGTTTGACATTCAGAACGATCGACCAGGCTGCTTGCATTGTCTTCTCTGAGAGTTCAGATTATTCAGTCAACGTGCATTCTGCAGTTAGTGCTGTGACAGCTGAACATCATTCCTTCCCCTTCGTCCAACTTGTGTAAGTCAATTTGTGAAAATCTTGTTGTGATTCACTAGCTTTCGTCGTGGTGATCGATCATGTAAATATTTGCTGTCACTGCAAACGGGAACGACCTGTTCGACTGACTAATGGTAGGCAACCATGGAATCGTTACCTTGGTACTGAACTGCAAAGCGAACATGCATGGCACCGATGCATGTTCGATTCACGACTAGACGTCTAGACTAGCAGGACTAGCTGGCAGTGTTTTTTCTCTCTCGAAAACGTAAGAGAATTGCGTTTCATTTTCATTAAGAGAAGAGAGTTTAAGTTACAAAATAAATCTGGCCTTGCCGAGGTTACATTGGTGCTACCTCTTAAAACCGAACAACCAATAGGAGGCAGGAACTGGATCAGCTCAGCCTATTGATCTGCCGACTAGCGCTCCCAGTCCTCTTGCTCCCGCATCAATCCATCGATCTGCTTCTTGATGATTTGCAAGAGATTAGCAGGCAGTGTTACCCAAGCTCGCCATGGCATATATGACGTATGCATCATATATAGCCTATGTTTCGTTCTGCAAGGCACATATGGACTCTGCATCCGGTGAGGGACATGAATCCATAAGCCGGCTGCTGAGGTCCGTCAGAAATGATAGGCAATATAAATGATGAATAATAGATCAAATACATGGGACATGAGATTTTAACTTGGAAAATCCTTCTAAGAAAGAAGGAAAAAACCACGGGCACCAGCCAACAAATCTTCACTATATCGGGTGAGGTTACAAACATCGAGGATTTACAACTTTTCTTATCCCAAGACGACAGCTTACATGAAGTATATATAAATAGAAAACCATAATATGCGACGATAACTGAAGTTAGCTTTTATCTTGTACATAACTAAATTTGGATCACAACTCAACAAACTCCACCTTGAGACAAATTCATTCTTATAGCATAAAACGAATATTTACCCTGAAACAACAAAGAAAATACTTTTGGTGCCAAATAGCCTCTTGGCTAAACAGTTATACCAACTAAGCTTGAGTAAAGCTCAAACTTAGCAACAGGAACTGACTTTGTCAACATGTCAGCAGGATTATTATGTGTGCTTATCTTGCATACCTTCAGCTTACCTTGCGCGACAACATCGCGAACATAATGGTATTTGACATCAATGTGTTTCGTTTGCTCATGGAACATCTGATCTTTAGTGAGACATATAACACTTTGAAAAATAAATTAATGTAAGAATCATCTCCACAAAGCTTAGCAAACAAAACTTTTAACCAAACCGATTCTTTACATGCTTCAGCAACAGCCATGTATTCTGCTTCAATGGTAGACAGGGCAACAACGAGCTACAATGTTGCCCTCCAACTCACAGCACAACCACCAATAGTGAACACATAACCTGTGAGAGATCTTCTCTTATCCAAATCGGCAGCAAAATCTGAATCCACGTAGCCAATGAGTCCCTTACCAGTCTTGTCAAACTTCAAACAATCATTTGTTGTGTCACGAATGTATCTGAAAATCCACTGAACAACCTTCCAATGTTCTTTATCAGGATTAGTCATGTATCTACTAACCAAACACATATCATATGATAAATCAGGACGAGAGCAAACTATGGTGTCGGATACCATAAAAAGGGGTATCCTAAGTAAGAACCGAAAAGATTGCTTAGACCTTGCAAATATCAATGTCAAAGGACGATCACGGGGTCTCGGCTGATTCTCCGATTCGCCCAAGGCCCGCGCCGCAAAGGCCTCGGACGAAAGGCCAACTCTCTGCTTTGCCGAGGCCCTCTCGCCGAGGCCCCGCCCCGCTAGGCCTCGGACGGGTTACCGATTCTCCGACTCGCTGGAGGCCGGCTCGGCAACAACCTCGTCGCCTCCGACTCGACCGACTTCTCTGACAAAATGTCACGCGTCCAACCACTCCCGCAACGTCAGCCGCACGTCGACGCAGTGCAGCAGAGCGGCCGACGGGACAGGAGACAGGACTGAGCAGGGGTTACCGGCCACTGTGCTCAGCACTGCGCCCATGACTGGCGCCCGTACTACGCTGTGCCACCTAATCCCTGCTCCAGGAACAACGCGGCGTGGGGAGTCAAATCCGAGTCACTATAGCCTCGGAATCAGTGTATAGGACCAACTGCTCCCACCAAGCCTCGGCAATCCACTTTAGGGTCTCGGTAGCCTCGGGATTCACGCCCGCCGAGCCCCCCACGATAGCTCGGCCTCGGCACCAACCGAGCCTCGGCTTTTTTCACTATCAACGCACAGCGACCGGCACGACGTCGGCCATGCCCTGCGCCAAGCTGTCACTGGAGCTCCCACGTCGCACAGGATCGGGTGTGACCGGCGCGTTGCTCCAGTGCACCAAGGACAAGACCACCCCGTTGACCATGCCGCCACAGTAGCAAGCTATAGGACTCAGACACGCCACCTCCGCTTACAAGACGCTGCATAGCAAACGCATGTATCACCCCTGTCCCCCCTTCAACTATAAAAGGAGAGACCGGGGCCGTTTCTAGAGACAGGGAAATCAAACGAGCACTCGCATAGGCTCACGTAGACTCAGACACCCGCTCCCCCGCTGCCTAAAAGCAACGTCTCAAGCAGTCCGCACCGCTCCACGCAGAGACTTGGGACTATCTCCATCTCTCGCCCAGCTTGCAAACCCCTACTACAAGCACTTCGGTGCAAGGAATACAAGATCGATCTCTCAGACTGGACATAGGGCACCGATTGCCTGAACCAGTATAAACCTTGTGTCTCTTTGCATCACCATCCGGGATTAGGGGCACGCAGTTCAAATTCACTAGCCGGTTGAGGACCCCCCGGTCCAAAACACCGACACATGGCATACATCAAAGAAACAACAACACTAGAACATGAAACTCTTGACATGTACTCAAAATCCTCATCCGTACTAGCACATTATAAAGCTGATAATTTAAATGAGGAGCAATAGGAGTACTAACAGACTTTGCATCATGCATGTTGAAACGATGAAGAACTTTCTTAATGTAACTTTGTTGACTAAGAAATAACAAATCAGAATTTCTATCTCCTGTAATCTCCATACCTAGAATTTTCATAGCAGCACCAAGACCCTTTATCTCAAACTCACTACTCAACAATTTCTTCAACGTAGTGATTTCTTTCTTGCTCTTAGCAGAAATCAATATATCATCAACATATAACAGCAAGTATATAGGTGATTCATCAACAAATTTAATGTACACACAGCTATCAAATTCAGACCTCTTAAAACCATGTGACATCATAAAAGAATCAAACATTTTATATCATTGACAAGGAGACTGTTTCAAACTATATAAGGACCTCTTTAATTTACAAACATGATCCTCCTTACCAGGTACTATAAACCCTTCTGGCTGGTCCATATATATCTCCTCGATCTCTCCATGTAGAAACACAATCTTTACATCTAACTGCTTAAGCTCAAGATCTCGCATAGCAACAATACCGAAAATGTACGAATTGAACTATGCTTTACAACTGGAGAAAACACATCATTATAATCAACACCAGGAATCTGACTGAAGTCTTTTGCTACTAACCTTGCATTAAATCTTGGAGGCTCACTAGAAGATAAACCCTCCTTTCTCTTGAAGATCCATATGCAACGAACGCCCTTCTTTTGTTTAGCCAAGCGCATAACATCCCATGTGCCATTTTTTTGAGTGACTGCATCTCCTCTTGCATAGCGGAAATTCACTTCTCGCGGTCACCAGAAACAACAGCTTCAGTGTACGTAGCCGGCTCATGAATATTCTCCACCTGTTCAGCACAACTAAAGGCATAATGAACAATATCACATTCCTCAATTAAACGTGGACGAGGTCCACAATTCCTCTTTGTTCTGTGATCTGCAATAGACTGATTTTGAGGCTGCAAAACAGGAAGTGAGTGCCGAACAATATCATGAATATTGTTATC